ACCCCCTCGGCAGCCATGGCGTCGTCGCTGCTCGGCCGGCTGAAGGCCATCGAGGTCGACCGGGACTTGCTGGTCTTCAAGATCCTCTATACCTTTGTCGCCGGTGCGCCGCCCGCCCGACACGCCCCGCCGCCGCCGCCGCGCCCGCTCGCCCCCGTCGCCACTAACGCCGGCCCGTCGCCCCGGCCCTGGCAGCCACCTTCGCCTCACTCGGGCCCTTCCTGTCGGTGATCTTCGCCGGGCGCGGGCTCACCCCCTCGGAGATCGGGATCATCCTCTGCGCGCGGCCGTTCGTCTTCTTCGCCGGGGCCCCGCTCTTTTCCATCATCGCCGATCGGGCCCGGCGGACTCGGTGGCTGCTGCTGACGGTCTTCGTCCTGAGCGCGGTCATCCGCACGCTGATCGCCTTCATCCCGGCCGAGCGCTTCGCCCTGCTGGCCTTCGTGGTGCTGACGTGCGAGTTCTTCGGCAGCCCGGTGTACTTCCTCATCGACACCGTGGTGCTCAAGGTCCTGGGAAAGAACTCCGATCGCTATGGCCAGCAGCGCCTGTTCGGCAGCATCGGGTGCGCGCCGCATCCCGCCCGGCGCCTGGCGCCCGCGCCCCCTCCCCATCTGCCCGGCCCTCACGCCGCTGACCGCAATGCCTCCCCCCCCCCCCCCCCGCCCGCATTCCCGCCGGCGCGCTTCCCCCCCCCCAGGTGGGGCCTCGCCTCGCCGCTTGTCGGCTTTGTTGTCGAAGTGTCCGACAGCGAAAACTGGTACTACTACTTCCAGACCATCTTCCTGGTGTTCACCGTCCTCACGGTATGTCGGAGCCCCGCATGCGCGCCCCTGTGCCCGGCTCCCACTCACTCGCCTCCCCTCCCTCCCCCTCGAACACCGGGCCTCCCCAAGATCACCTTCGGCAAGTGGCCCAAGGAGGGCGCCGACGCGGCAAACCCCAACGCCGATGCCGAGGCCGCCGAGGCCCCTCTCGGCGATGCCGCGCCCGATCGGTACATCTCAGCCGCCCCGCCCCGCCCCGCCCCGCCCCGCCCCGTGACTCCCGCACACCGCCGGCCATGCTGACCCCGCCGCTCCACATCGGGCCACCGGTCGCAGCGAGGCCCCGGACGCCTCGTCCTTCCTGGACCTGGTCCGGCTGCTGAAGAACCCCATGACGCTGATGTTCTTCGTGAGCGCCTTCAACAATGGCCTGCTCATGTCCCTGGTGTCGGTGTACCTCTTCGTCTTCCTGCGGTCGCTCAACGGCACGCCCACCCTCATGGGGCTGACGCTGACATTCACCTGCATCGCCGAGGTGCCGCTCTTCTTCTTTGCCGATCGCTTCCTCCGGCGCTTCGGCCCCGGGTGGCTCATCGTCTCCGGGTATGTGTCCTTCGCCCTGCGCTTCACGTACTACGCCCTGCTGGGCAACCCCTGGGCCGTCCTGCCGGCCGAGCTCCTGCACGGCGTCACGTACGGCATCGACTGGGCCGCCAAGACCGAGTATGTCCGCCGGATTTCGCCCCTCTCCCGCCTGGCCACCGTCCAGGGCATCCTCGGCGCCATCTACTGGGGCATCGGCCAGGGCTGCGGTGTCCTGCTGTGGGGGTTCATCTACGACGCCCTCGGCCCGCGCAAGCTCTTCGTCATCGGTGTACGTGGGCCGCGCCGCCGCCTCCCGGCTGTCGGCCTGGCGCCCGGCCGCCACTTCTCCCCCCTCTCGCCTGCACCTTCCTCCCCACGACCGCCGCCTGCCCTGACTCCGCCCCTGCCCCCCCCCC